CTAATCCAAGGGAATGAAATACCACATCAGCTGTTCTTAAATGACTGCTAGTGTACAGGCCCTTATTGCAGATTCAGTGAGACAGTCTTACTTGTTTTTAATAACAGGTAAACTCCAAATTAGCTCACTTCATTAGAAGACTCTCTGATCACTTAAGTGTTCATAAGCAGTAACTCTATACTGGGCTGTCTGTACACATACTTTCCTTCACAGGCCACGTAGCTTAGTGTAATTCCACCTTAAATGAAAACATAAGTGTGCAATTGGAGAAAAAGAAAGGTGTGCCACTTAAGCCATTTTGTATTACTAGGTGTAGGAAGCAGGGACAGGACTGGTAAGGAAGCTGTCTGCTCACTTATGTGCAGCAGCTGCTAGTTGCACACTGTTATTCTGCGATAAATATCAAGAGATTCGTTCTTTTTTGGATGAGGACTAGCTCTTTCCCATTGCCTCACTTTAATCACAGGCAAAGAATAAGTATACAGAGAGCAATTTTGCAACATCTCATATATTTTACTCTTTTTACACATCCAACATCCCAGGCCATGGTTAATGGGAAGTTCAATTTTGGTACTTCCTCACACTCCAACTCATGCCACCTTGGACAAAGTTAGTGGGGTGGCCCCAGACATTTTACCCCCCCCCCCATAGCCCCATAAGTCTACACTTAAATTAACCAAGAGTCCAATGTTAAGACAAAGTCTTAACTAAACTGTTGGCACATTCAAAATTACAAGAATCTTTCTCCTAGAATGATGGCAGTTGATATGACTGCACTAAGATAAATGGGTTTTTGAAAATAATTGAAAACGGAAAGGGTCAAAGCATATGTGTGGAGTTGGCTTGGGTAATCAATGCAACATTTTCAGGCTGTGTTCAAAGAAACATGGCTGCTACTCTGCTTGACATTGCATATCTGGCTGGTTTAGAAATTTAGGCCTCTTTGGACAAATCTGCTGTGAAAAGGGTTAAGTAGTTCTGAATCAAACCTGAAAATGGTAGGGGACTGCCTTAGGTAAGGGATGGCCTTATTCTTGTTAATATAATCCTGCAGGAAACACTTGGGGAAAGCTCCTACCATAAACAACAATTAAAAAAAAATGCAAGCTCACGGCCTGAATGGGCAGTAGGCAAATGCCCATCAGCTTCAGAGCAGCAACAAAGAGGATATTTACTCTAGGGCAAGAAATGAATATATAAACCTATTTTATTGTAATGGTTTTGCGAATGACAGAGTCAGACAGGAATGCTAAAAAATAGCAGAAGTCTGTTTTAGTTAGACTAACAGAAGTCTGAATTTTGCTCCAAATGCAGATGTCATGGTTCAAGCCAGCTCTTTTCAGCAAAAGTAACTACCAGAAAAAGACGACCTATTAGCATGTGCTAAGTATATGTAAATGGCATTTACTTCACGGGGAGTAGCATATGCTCAGCACTTCAGCAAATTCATTCCAATACAATGGTACAACTGACTATGGAGCAAATACACATTGCATTAAATAAACAAAGGCAAAAAAACAAAGAAAATGATTTTGGCGCGCTTTTAGTCTGTGATTATATTAGCTGAGGGTGTTTATTGTTAGCAGGGAATTAGAAATTGAATATTCAAATTTAATATTATAGAAACATCTATGTTTATGGAGCAAGGTCAAAAACACATTACTAGGAACCAGGATATTGATCATACAGATTAGAAAGATTTAAAATCTTTTGTAGTTTTTTTTCTATTACTTCCTCCTATCACCTTTCATTTTACTTCCTTCCCTAAAGTCTTCTTCAAGTTTACAAGACTTCTCATACAGGGACATATATCATATGGATTTTCCTTCCTTTATTTTTCAAATCTCAAATGGAAGACAAAGATTGAATCTCACATTGCAACACATACAAAGGGTCAAAGCAACAGATTGTCTAAATTGGCCTTGCTCCATTGCTATTACTGAGGTTACGCTGACTTACGCTAATCTCAGTTGCCAGATCTTAGTTATCTGGGGAAAATAATTTTATTAATTGCATGTAGGGAATTGGATGGGAAAGATCAAAGGAGAGAAAGTACAAGAGGAAAAATAATGGAAGAAAGAAAGGTAAAAAAAACCCAGCAGGTTGTCTTTTTTAATGCAATAATTTCCTCTTCAGGATTTCAAATTTTATTTTACTTTCTGACTTGTTTTCTATTTGCAGCAAAATCAATGATGCCAAAAAGAGCCTTTGCGTATGCTTATGTTAATGTCATATCAATCTATAGAGGAGAGAAGCAAAGATCAACTCTATGCTTATATTCAATGTTGAAGTATACTGAACTACTGAATCTTGCAGAAAACAAACAAACAGAAAGAGGAGGTTTAACCAAAAGATATTCACCACCACATTTTATGTTATACCCCAAATTTTTGAAGCTGTTGTAACACGTTTTTCTCTGACAGACTAGAACTATGGTTGTTGTGGAGTGACTTGCATCTGTCTTTTAGATTCTAATTCGTTTTATGTCTCTTTCCTTCATACATGAATATACATTTGTCCATACTTACATATATATACATACATACATTCAGAAATATGGATTAATGTTCTTAATAATGCAGAAATTCAAACAGAGGTTGTATTCCCCATAATAGTTCTGGATCATAACTGATCTTCTGGATGAGAATAGTCAGAATTATACTGCGGTTCTTCGTAAATAGAGAAATAAATTAAAGTAATAGTCATCCTAGTCCTTGATATCTACATCAAAACACTTTTAAACATAATGCGTTCACACAAGCTTACTTCAATAATTATAGCTTTGGAAGCTTGAATTCTGGATTTCTGTTGTACTTCTAACATTGTACTGTATGCAGGTTGCAAATAATGGTATTTCATTTTAATGCAAATAAAATACTGCTTATTTGTAACTGGCTATCCAAGAGAAAATGAAGAAGAAGATGGAAGCAGAAGCAGCAAGTAGACAAGCAGATGTAGACGTGCACTTGGATACCACATGTCTGGATAGCAAAGGAGCATACAGTACCCAGCACTTTGAAGATATACAGCTTGGGACACACTACCAGGAAAGCATTGCACTATTTGTGTTACACAAAGGTACAAGAAAAAGGTCTCAGAAAGGGATGCATAATGGTTCAACTTTCAATATCATGTCCTTTAGCCAGCTCACGGTAACAGCAGAAGGAATTAGCTGGACAATCTTAAACTTTTCTAGATGGCAGTATTATCGAGCCTTTAGAACAGACTCAATTTCTAGGATTGAAGTCAGTTTTGCCTTTGGCTGTGTCTGAGCACAAGAAATCCAACCAAACAAAAACACAATGGTGATGAAGCCTGGGAAGCAGCAGATGCTAACAATGCCAGACTGGAAACGATGAAGTCAAGCGCTTCGGCCACTTAAATTTCACAACGGATGGTGATGTTCCAGTAACAAATAGATGCTAGAGATTCACAATGGCTTATTCAGCATCCACACACACTGAATAAAGAGACTTGAAAAAGAAATACACACAACCACAAAAGCCAAGCTGATAGAAGCACTGATTTGGTAACTGCTGTAGAGAGATGAATATGAAAACTCAATGGGTATGAAAAGCTGGGCCCAGATGGCAATAGATAAGAAAAGATCATAGCATTTACTATGTAGCACAGCTGTCAGGATACAAGGACAGATCACTCCATTAATACCAGGAAAATGGAAGAGCACTTTTCATTGCTGTGGGAAGATCAAGGTGTTAAAATTATACAGGTACATATGTCAAGAAGTGAAGACCAATTGCAGGATAGATACAGGAACATTTAAGCCGCTCCTCCTACGATTGCATATGCAACTTCAGAATGTTTGATCTAAGAAAGCCTGGCAAATATTTAAGACCTTCTATTCCGCTGCACAAAAAAAAAAAAATCCAAACATTATGTAGTTGAGAACATTTCCTCTATTTTCTGGTATGTCTGTGGAAGGCCAGTGATTTCACTGGGGGATGTTATGGATGAAATGGAGGGCACAAGTCGTCCTAACAAGTTTCGTACTTGATTGGGCTTAAACAATGAAAGGGTGCTTTTTCCAAATGGCATTTGCAAACAGTCTTGTTTCACATATCTTAGGTTTCTCATATCACTCTCATCTTGAAAATACAATCAGGAGAGTGAAACTATGATACTATGCATCAAATATGCATATGGTCTGCATGTAAGTTAGAAGATAACCAAGGTGTAATGGGGCTAATTCTAGGGTGATTAGTTAAATCATGAAAAGCAGCCATTGCTACTATGTGGTTCTAGTTATCTCCCAGAGGCACAGAGCCCAGCATTAGGAGAAGGGAAAAAAATAATTTTAAAATGCAAAAAAAAATCACTGTTTAGCATATGACTGCTGCTGCACATTCCTGCCTTTATTTCTTTAGGAAAAAAAAAAAAGGAATTGTGTGTAAAATGTTTGCAGTATTCATTGAAAATAACTGAAATAACTGAATGGGAATTACAGGAAATAATCACTGAGCTTGGCAATTGTATTTGGAAACAGCACGTGCACCAGAAATTAAAATATTTGGCTGGCCTTCCAGTGTTTTTGCTAAACCTAGTGTGCATTGGAACCTGAGTGAATGAAATCCCATTAGTCATCATCATCTTAACAATATACACTTCATACGGAGCTGGCTTCTGCATAGAGGAAGGAAATTACCAGTACTAACAAAAGAAAGAAGATTTATAATGAGCAAATATACAAAAGCTCCAAATAATTATAATATTCACCGCATGGCAACGGCTTTCTAGGCTATGAAATTACTTTTCTTTTAGGAGAATGAAGATTTTACAAGGTTAGTATAAACAAAGGGTAATTGGAAAATCAAATTGCACTACAAAAGTTATTGTAAGGTCTGGAATAATGGTGATAACATTTTAAAAAGCCTGCTTATGAATCGCTATATTTGTGTTTTGTACATTATTGTCATCAGAAATTCTCCCTTTCAAGTGCTACAATGGGAAACATAAACTGCTAAATACAAATACCAGCTTACCCCTGACACAATGAGTTCTCCTCCCAGGTTCTGAACTTCTGCCTTCACCTTACTGCAGATGTTGAGCTGGTGGCAATAGAGGGCAATGCGTTGCAGGTAGGCGAGCAGGTCCTGCTTGCAGGCTGAGTCGGGGCACTGCAAAGGAAAGACATATTTGACATAGGTACTTGAGCTTGCACACTTCTTATTATCCAGAGGAGATGGTGGCAGTATGTGAACCATCTTGGGTGATTTCAAGGCACCTGGTGAGCATCCAAGTTAAGATACAATACAAGCCACTTAAAGTCCAAATAGACCCAGTTCAAAATAGCTTCAGCAACAATCAGACCGGCTCTGCCAACACCTGAATAGCACACCAGCTTCCCTGGCATTTGTGCAGACTTTTGGGCGACACGACCCTGCCTCAGACTTGGCAGAAGCCAGGCCCATAAAGATACATTAAAAACTCAAGACACAAAAGGGGAGGTTGCCTGGTTGATCCCCACAGGTTTGGCAGGCTTATTGTTGATATATGAATATGTTAGTCTGTGCTAGAAGGAAATTATTTACTGTAATATGAGTGACGTATTCCAGGGTCTTTCAGGAGATGCCATCAGTATTGAAACCCATCACAAGAACCCAGTGGTCTCTTTGCACATCTAAGCGATGCTTCTTTGTCCTAGAGTGAAGTCTATCTATGGTCCTGTACCATTTTAAACACTTAATAGAAACTGTGTCATTAACAGTTATGTCCCAATTCTTGCCCCAGGAGAGCAAGACTCAATAACTCACTCTGACAAAACTCAGCTAACAGATTGCAGTGCTAACAGCACCTCTCTAGCAAGTGCTGGATAGCAAGTGCTATCCAACAAAGCATCACTGACAATGTTCTTTGAGTGTATTACAACAGAGACCAAAGATTTAGGGACTTCTAACTATGTCTTTTATGGATCTTAAAAAGTTTATGCTCTATTTTCATTGGTAGAGCAAAATATTATCAAAGGACTTAAACACATGAGTCAACAGTGCCCAAACCTTTGATGTGAAATGGCTGCTCTCACAGTGAAGGCAGGTAGGGAAGACATTTGTGGTGAAATATTGCATACACTGTCATCTATAACCCTGCAGACAGTCACTTTGCTTTTTCCTCTCCCTTTTAAACTAACAATAAACAAGGGCTGAAGGTTCACTGTGGCTGTTAGTTTAATCTTTTCTTTACTTGTGACAGTGCCATAATGTCTATCTCAGACAGTTCCTGCATCTTTCGAGCATGAATCGCTAAAAGACCTCTTCTCTCTACCTCTGATAATTTAATACAGAAATATTTACCCTGCTCTTAAGCCTATGAATTGAAAGAAATGAACTATAAAGTAATACCTACAGGGAGTTGACAAGGCTTTAAATACAAGTACCTTGGAGGGAATTAAAATGTAGGATCTTTCTCACTGGAACAGTAATGAACAATGCAATGGTCCATAAAAAGTTTATATTGCATGAGTGTCTCCAAAGTTGTGCAAAAAATCATTGAAGCTGAAGCACTAAAACATGCACTCTGTCCTTATAGTGATTTTACTGTTTATTATTCCTACCTCCAGCTAACTTTCTCCTGATGCCAGTGAAAGGAAAGAAACTGTAGAAAGGCAAGGATTGATGCTGATGAATAAATGATAAGAGAGGAACTCAGCACTGAAACCACTGTAAAACACTGTGCAATCAGTGGTGGATGATCCAAGGTCCCAAAGGCTGCACAGGAAGTATGTATAGAAACATTTTCTACATAAAGTCTGAAGTGAGGTCCCCACACTCACAGTTTGGGCTTGTTTTACTCATGAGTTTTTACTCATATGTGATGCTTTCTCTTGCTCTCCAATGGATAGGTAAGGTAGTCTGAAGTGCAGCCTAGGGCTGAATATGGCAAGTTCATCTTCCCCGTTGTGACCTGCACTTCTTAGTGGGAAAACTACCCAGGAGGAGACACAATCCAGTCATCTCTGTTAAGAAGAGGACTGTAAACAGCGGCAGGGGGTGATACAGAGGTGATACAGAGCACAGTACTACCCCATTCACAGGACAGGACAAGGAGCAGAAAATCCTGAAACGGAAAAGTGCAGTATCAAGGGAATCTGCCAGAAGAAAGAGCTAGTGAAGCATGAGGAGCCCTAGGTTTCCTGCAACAGCACATCAAACTCTCAGGTGCTCTCACACCTGCAGATCCCTCCACATAGTCCCATGGGTCGAGGAGCAAGAGTATGGCACAGGTCAAGAGGATCCAAGAGACTCACTTGGACTTTCTGAGCCCATCAAAAATAAATAAATAAATAAATAAATAAACCCACAAATGGATTTACCTCTCATACACAACCTGTATGTAATAGGTGGATCAGAGCCAGGTAGTCTTCTATCAGCAGATATCCTTTTCTTGGGAAAATGGCTAGCAGGAATTGTATTCTCCTGCTGTTTCTTTTCACTGTTACCTGATCAGCTACAGCCCGAGCCAGTTTGTCCATCCTAGATCCTGCCTCTGCGATCTTCTTGGCTGCGTTAATGACGTCCGATGTATTCTTCAGCGGGCCTTTACCCCTGTGAAATACGATACGGTTATGCAAAATCTAATTAAATCACGCAAGGAAACAATTTTAGTGACCCTGCTAAGCACTTGATTTTAAAGCAGCAACACGAACACAGTCTTAATTTACTGCGACTTCACCTTTTAACTGCTTGTTATGGCACAGCTTGATTAAGAAATCGGTCTGCTGTATTTCCTCTCTCTTACAAAATGCCTCACTAGCAATTTAGTTTGATGGCACCTTCAAGTACATGAACTATATGTAATCGTATATGCATTTTTAAGTGCTCATTAAGCCAACATTCTTTCTGGATTACACAACTTTTGAAAAATTATGTTGTTCCCAGGCCAGTGCTTAGACTAAGCC